CCCAGCCTGTTACCAAAGCCTGCCTACCAAACTGTATAAAAGATGCTTGAGTTAAGAGCTCCTGTCCTGAAAACCAGGTGACCTTCAGCATGCTGAAAATAAGAACCTCTTGTGTTATTGCATTGAACTCTGTCTCCTGGTCTTTGCAAGATGAGCCTTCCCAGCAAGTAAGATTCGTGCTCTTGGGCCGGTCTTACAAAAGGAGATGTGCTACTATACCTTCACCACTGAGCATAACAGGCTGAGAAGGCTTCCTTATCAGACAGGGGTCTAGGACATCCCGGAAGCACCACACCCTGCAAGTAGGGCAGTCCATTGGACTCTAGAAACAAATTAACTGCCAGCTGTGGCTTCACTCAATGATGGAGAGACATTGCTTATACTGTCCTGCCAAATGTAACCCAGATCACGAAAGGACACCTATACTGAACACCAACATAAAATACATTCTGACATATGATCCCCTGAGGAATAAAAAATTACCTCATTCGTGAGACTGGGATGATGTAAGTTCATACTAGTTGCATGATGAAAGATAAATTCTCACAACATATATCCTCAATACATATTTAGGAAGGAATTATATGTTATTTGTATCAGGCAAAATGCAAAGTTTACTGCAAACTACTTGGGGTCTTTGTGAAGATCTATAATTCTGAAATTATTTAGCCCCATAAAATCAAGTTGTGTTAATCAACGCGAGTTTTGAATCACTATTATCAACCTTGCTGCTATCTCATATATTTTTACATGAGGAATGACATAAGCTCTGAGATCTCAAGTTTGTTCCTGAGTCTATCACTAATTTTTGTGTGACCTTGAGCAAGTTACTTAATTTTTTTCCTCTAAAAATTTAAGTGGGGCCGGCCCCGTGGCGCACTCGGGGAGTGCAGTGGTGCTCCCACCGTGGGTTCAGATCCTATATAAGGATGACCGGTGTGCTCACTGGCTGAGCACAGTGCGGGTGACACCAAGCCAAGGGTTGCAATACCCTTACTGGTCACAAAAAAAAAAAAAAAATTAAGTGAGTGAATTATACTAGATGATCTTGAATGTTTTTTTCAAGGCTGACATTCCACCATTCTATAAATATGTAGATTCCTTTCAATGATATAAAAATTAAGAAAACAAATACACTGTAATAGATAAATTTGAGAAAGGCATAGGAAAAATAACCAGAAATTATGGATATGTATTATACTATAACACCGTAGTCTAATGTTGTTTTTACATTTTTGACAAAGAAGCTTTTATTTTATAAAGCACACTTTCCCTCCAAAATATTGTCCTATCTTATTTCAAGTCATAACTCAAACATAATTGAGAACAAAGGAAAAAAGATATACAGTCACATGTAGATATGTTTTGATTTTTAAAAATGCAGTGTTTTAGAGTGTCACATTTTATTGTCTTATGTGATCCTTTATTTGCTATAGTTTATTTAAATCACAGAGAGAACATTTTAATTATCACATTAGTCTACAACCTAGTAAAGAAGATGTTCTGCATTATCATGACTTTCCTTAGAAATAACAAAGTCAAATTTCTGCATTTGTTAATTTATTCACTTGCTGCTGTATATGCAAGAGGAATTCATAATATGATAATGCAGATTCTGGTGTCTGTCTTCTACCATGTTTTGAAGGAATTTTGCCTTCATTAGATTCTCATGCCTGTTCTACAAAGGAAAAACGGTCTCTGCTCTCTAAGCCAAGAGATGAAATCTATTGTTCTGGAAGATTCTGGTGCATCAAGTTCTGGAAAATCCGTCATATTCTATGGAACTGATGCATAGATTTAAACTTCCAGAACTTGGCTGAGAAAATTCTGTTCATAATGTTTTCCAACCAAAAGTATCACTGCAGAGCCTGCATCCATGAAGAAATCATCCCTGCTGAACTTCTCCACAGAAAGCTGAAAAATAGGGGACCGAGGTATGGTTCTACCATTGATGTTGAAGGCTCTTTCATCTGAGAGATTGCCATCTATATACAAACTGGGATAAGGTGTGAACATAAGGTGAACTAGGGGCTGATTTTTCACTCGACACATAGCAAAAAGGTGTTTATCTAGATGTGCATTTGTCCAGTCTGGAATGATTATTGTGTAAGGAGAGTCAACACAAACAGTGGGAGAAGTCACGAATAAAAAGGAACCATGATTCTAGGCTGCTGCTTACTTAGAACTGAAAAACAATTAGCTGAAAAAGCATTTATGAGAGCACTCACTAGAGCACCTCCAGCATCATTCAGGCTGGCATTAACAGACCTGTCAATGGCTGTATTGGGCAATAACCCTGACATTGCTTGACCATCATCTCCAAGAAAGACTTCATTAATAGTTGAAACTACTGGCAAACACAAAGAATAAACATGAATTCTTTGTTCACCTTTGCTGGACTGAAAAGAAACCGAGAGTGCTGGCTGAAAAGAAACCAAGTGTCAGTAAGGCTCTCTTCTACTGACATCTGTTCTGTATTTCCAGCTTCTGGGATTACATGGGACAATGGCAGTAATTCTGTTGAGTGAATGTCCCCATGGAAAGTGCAAATGAAAAGACCTTCGGTGCACCAAATCCTGATAACTGCCTCAAAGCCAGTCTTCCAAGAGAGGTAACTCTGTAGTTCTTTCTGTATCGTCTGCTCTTGAACTGAATTATATTCATGATGGTAAAAGAGATAGTAATAGACACTAATTACTGAATACAAAGAAATACATCGCAGAGAAGTTAAAACAGAGTACTGTCCACTGTGAAGGAACGACAGATGCCTGCTGACCAGAAGAGTCCAAGGCTACTTTCTTAGAAAAGTCAGAGGGTGGTGTCAAATGTATTTTCTTACAGATGATATTTGGTTGGGTTTCTCTCATCATTTCAGGATTCCCATTCTGAAAGTTGGGAGCTTTTTCTTTGAGACAGACATTTGACCATCAGTTGGGGATAGTAGCTTAAAGGCAGACTGAAATTCAGGAACCAAGGCACTCTGGGTCTCCAGAGTTTTGGTAAACATTTTCGGCAAAGTTTTCAATAATCTTGGACAAGTTCTTTACTTTCATATATATTTACGAACAAGTTTCTGGCATATGTTTAAAACATCTTCAATATCTAAAACTAATAGCAGCTGATGGTGAGA